TGACACTTTGGCCCTCGTGACCCTTGTGACCCTTTGACCGACTTTCCCCTTGAAAAAATCCGAGATCTGACACTTTGGTCCCCGGTGAAAAAAATTTTTATACAAAAATTAATATACACACCTCGTCATGGAAAACAGATCACCGTCCCCCACGTGCAGGATTGCTTTCCGAGCCGAAGGCGAGGGACGGTGATCTGTTTTCCAAGGCTCAGGCATGTAATGTACTATTTCAGTTTTCACTTCACAATAAATTGTTCAAGAGGTTTATCAGATCATGAAGAAGACGCCATCAAAATCATGAATTGAAGACGCCTACGAAACTAAACATTCAGGAGGCGATTAAAGTGCCGAGAGTGGGGGTAGTCCTCGAGCGCATGGAGCTAGAGGTATCTTATAGAGAGGTATCTTACATAAAGCCTCGCCTGTACTATGAAAATTACGGTTGTTCCTAATCACATTCCTGTTGATTCTCATTGTTTTCCACAGTATTTATCATGTTTATTTCCACAATAAATGACAAATAGTTGATAAAATTCTTATCAAAAAGAAGCACTTATTTTTTTCAGGGGGTCCCTTTTGCCCGCCGGGTCCACTTTGCCCTACCCTCCCCTACAGTTATGATTGTTGAGTCTTTTAAGGCCGAGTTGATAGCGAATGCTGCATTCCAATGCAATTGGGTGAATGAGAGCCGGAGTTTCAAGAAGCACTTGCAGCTGATCATCTTCAGTGCAAACCAAGGGGTTGCCTTCAATATTTGGGGATTTTTTTCAGTAAATTTGAATCAATTGACGCGGGTATGATCAATGTTCATCAATACTCACAAGACGGCAAATATGAAATTTAGAAGAGAATAACGTCTTTACAGATCGGAAGTATGGCCGTGAGTTTCTTCGCACTAGTCAACACTGTATCGTAAATGAAGAGGACGAATGATGCTTGTTACGGAAGCTTTCTGTTGTCTGATTCATATACAGAACCAGATATCAATGAGTTCGTTTGAAATAAAATAAAAACCCCTAAAGGCAATAAGAAATCCAAAGCCAGCGGTAAAGACCTAATTACACATTATCGCACAATCAATATAACTAGCTATAAGAGGGAAGGGAAGCCAGTTGATATCTGGACAAGCGTTTACGACCGGCCGCTCTGCCAAGTCTGCCACCACTCACCCTCCGGTGGGTGGTGGCAGACCTACCACTCCTGCATCATTGACGAGTTACCATGTATTCTTGATCAGAGATAATGTCATTCTAATGAAAGATGATTACGAATTCATAAAATGATGAGTCCATGTCACGGAGATTCATCATTTATGCATTCGGATAGGTTTGGGCGAAAAACCTCGTCAGTCTAACATCAGAAATGAATCAGACTTCACCGTTTCAGCTCAAGTTTGACCTCGAGTTCTCGCCAAGTCCCCCATAAAATCATAAAACTATAAAACATACGATCAAAATGTTCGTGAAATCGGACGATTCTGTCGACGCGGCTGAAACCGATTCTCCTATAGACTTTGCGAAATTGTTTAACGTTTGTCGTGTAACTCTACGTACACTTGGAGTATTCACTGTAGACACAATTTTCTCAAAGTCTAAGAGAAAAATTTGGGACATGAAGGCACTGTATTACGTTTTTTGGTTGTTGCCCACTTTCTTCGCCAATTTCTGTGAATTTCGGAGTGTCTTATCTTTTTGGAAGACTGATGTCTATTACGCGCTGGAAGTGACAACAGCTGTGCTGAGTGGAGTAATCGTTATGGCACAAGGATTCTTCGTATATCACTCACGAAATGACTTGTTAGAAGTAATAGCTGAACTTCGTAATCTATGGCAAAAGCAATTAGCTCTCAACATTCCAGATGTTATTGTGAAGAAAGTCAAAAGGGCGAGATTTTTCACTCAAGTTTATGCCACACTCATCATACTTCTAGCGATAACTTACTCAATTAGGCCATATCTGTATGGATGAGAAGACAATACTTAAATTGAATACATATCTTAAATTGTTGGTCTCTCAAATAATTGGCACTGTTCTTGTAGCTTACTACTCACACATGTTATATCCAGAAAAAACGAAACGTACGACATGAGTCAAACAGTTTTCCAAGCGATATATCCAGTCCAAATTGACACATTTGTTAAATATATCATATGGATAACGCTGGAAGCCCTGGTATTCGTCAATGTCTCTGCGTCATGGATAGGAGCAGACATGATCTTTCTCCAACTGGCGACCCACCTGTCCTCGCAATATCAAGTGAACCTCCATCCAATCCATGTAATCGCTATGATTACGACCATAGTAATTGTCCAATTGTTATAGATTCTCCATGACGACTTGATTGCACTTGGAACTGGGGAATCCAACCAATATACTCCGGTACAACAATTGAATACTATGGGCAAACGTCATACACACTTGTTACTGTGAGGTACAGTCGTTATGATATCTACAAATGTCATCACTTGATGGTTTTCAGATTGTCGGACAAATTCCAAAGGATATTCAGCCCTATTTTACTGGTACTCATGCTGGTGACGAGTGTCAACATTTGCATATGCATCATCAATCTTCAGGAAGTAAGATTCATTATTGATGGTGGTTGTCAAAAATCTATGGACAGATATTGTTTTCAGGAACTTATGCAACAAAATTATGCTGGGGTTAATAAATGTGCTGTGCATACTGTTATAGCTATGATCCAACCAACTATTTATTGTGTTTATGCCAATGATCTTACTGAATGGGTGTGTACATGCGATTTCTTCACAATCTGTGTCAAGATGTGGAAATCCTCTCGGAAAAAATGGTAAAACATCATCTGTACACATGTTTAGGCCGAGTTGACTGCAGTCGCGGCATATACCTGCGAATGGGTGGACAAAACCCGATATTTCAGACACTCTGTACGCCTGATCACCATGCGCGCCCAAGAAGGCTTGCAATTGCGCATTTATGGATTTTTCAGTGTAGATTTGAATCTGTTGACGCAGGTAAGTCTCAGCAGTCAATCTATTCGGCGAGAAAGCCAGAATTATAAGTATGCAATAATTCGCAGATTGGCGTTGGCGCTGCAAGATTCTTTGCGATAATCAATAATCTCTCAGGAATGGCGGAGTGAAAAAAAGGGCAGTAAAGAAAATACCTCTGATCGACTCCTGAAACGCAATTATAAATGAATGATGATACACTATTTTCTGAGTACTCATACATAGCAATAAAATTATCTCAAGAATTGACTCTGGCTCTTTATATTTTGATCATAATTCATTATTTTATATTTTGATGATGCAAGTGTCAACATTTGCATATGTATCATCAATCTTCAGGGAGTACCATTCATTATTGATGGTGGTAGATGTTGCTTTCAGGACCTTATGCCGACAAAATTATGCTGGAGTTAATAAATGTGCTGTGCATACTGTTATGGCTATGATCCGACCAGCTATTTATCATGTTTATGCCGATGATCTTACTGAATGGGTGTGTACCTGCCATTTCTTCACGATCTGTATCAAGATGTGGTAATCCTATTGTAAAAAATTGATAGAACTTCATCTGTACACATTTTTAGGCCGTGTTGACTGCAGTCGCGGCATATGCCTGCGAATGGGTGGACAAAACCCAATATTTCAGACACTCCGTACGCCTGAGAATCATAGAATTAAAAAAATTATTACTTTCCCGCAGTGCAAAAACCACGGGACGAAAGACTGAGCTAATTCTTCGGTAAGTATCTTATAACTGGAATGATGATGTCGATGAATTCGATTCAATGTAAGTTGATTCACTTTCAATAATGATTTGATCGGAAGTGAAATGATTCTCACGAACGGACAAGTTGTCAAACGGAAAAAATCTTGGGACTGACTAGAACAGTTGCAGCCCGTCTCTACCATTCCTGAATCATTGATGATTAAAGTCATGACTTCTTTATTACCTAGATAGTATTCCAATCAGACCATCATTACAGATTTATGAAATAATGGGCTGATGTCACGCAGATCTCTCATTTATTCATCTGCGCGGAATATGGAACAAATGATCAGTCTTTTATCAGAACTAGTATCAGACATGACTCAACCGTCCTACATAAAAAATCATGTTCGTGAAGAGGGAAAATCCCCGCGGAAAAAATGCGACTAATCCTACACCAAGTTTCGAACAATTATTTAACGTCTGTCGAATTGCCATGCGTGTGTCTGGAATCCTCGCCATAGACTCAATCTTCTCGAAATCCGAAAGAAGAATGCCAGATTTGAAAATAGTCTATTATTTTTTGGGAATCTGCCCTGTGGTTTTCGTCTTCATCTGCGAAGCCCGTAGCATAATCCACTTTTGGGGATCGAATATTAATTTATCACTGGAGATATGCACAGCTGTTCTCAGTGGTCTTGTCGTCATAGTGCAAGGATTCTGCATGTACTATTTTCGAAAAGACCTTTTGGATTTCATATCATCCATAGGGGACTTATGGAAACGACAAGTGTTTCATAATATTGATGATGGTATAGTGAAGAGAGTGAAGAGTGCCCAATCCTTCACGCAGATTTACGCTGTGTTGGTGATACTTCTGGCAAGCAGTTACACACTTCGGCCCTTCTGGTAAGCAACGGGAATAGAAAAATGTTGGAATAGGGAACTTGCATAGAGTCTAGTGAAGGTCTAGTTCTAGAAGTCTAGTTCAATTGAAAACCCGAGTTGAAAACCCGAGTTTGTAGCAGCGATGTCAGATATGATATGAATGTTTTTTTGGGCTCAAATGAAAGAGTGGGTCGAGAAATGACGTGCTAGAGTCTCTAAACATGACAAATGTCTCTAAAGATGATGTCTGTTTTCAATTGAAAGCAGAGTTGTGACATCATTGTCTAGGAGGACAATGGGGTCTAGGAGTATGTATAGAACATTGGCGTCTAGGAGTCTCCCTTGGTTCAAAACCATCTTTAGAGGTCCTAGCACACCATTTCTCGACCCGCTCTTTCGTTTGAGCCCAAAAAAACATTCATATCTCGTCTGACATCTTTGCTACAAACTCGGGTCTCTAACTCGGGTTTTCAA